CTGTTTGGGGGCAAGTATTGCCACCTCCTAGCCTAAGATACTGCTTGAGTTAGAGTTACTGAGAGCCCCGCTTCCTCTAGGTTCTGTGAGATTGAGTGCAGAGCTGCCTCCCAGGATCTGTGAGTGCTCGGGCCCAGACTGGAAGGAACCCGTGCCCCGGGCCAGGAGTGAGTTCCTGGGTCCCAGTGGGTCCCAGTGGGTCCCGGTTGCTCCCTGTTTGGGGGCAGTTATTGCCACCTCCTAGCCTAAGATACTGCTTGGCAGAGAGGTCCTGAGAGCCCTGCTTCCTCTGTATTCTGTGAGATTGGGTGCAGAGCTGCCTCCCGGGATCTGCGGGTGCTCAGGCCCAGACCAGATGGAGTTCATAATCTGGGCCAGGAGCAAATTCCTGGGTCCCAGTGGGTCCCAGTTGCTCCCTGTTTGGGGCAAGTGCTGCTTTTTCCTTACCTGGGATGCTGCCTGAGTTAAAGCTCCTGGGAGTCCCTCTTTCTCTCAGTTTTCTGGAGTTGGGTACAGAGCTGCCGCCTGTGACCTGCTCTATCACATCTTGTATTTTAAAAGTAGAATCTAAACACACATATAAGTTAACAATTAAAGATTATTATGTTGGTTGAGACTGTATATGGAAGTACTATTTTTAAGTCATCAGAAAATGTGTCCATAACAGGAAAGAGAGCTTGAGTTTCACTTGGAAGGGGGGATGGAATGGTCAGGGAAGGTAAATGGAGAGGGAACTCGGTGAGAGAGGGGATTGAGAGGGGAGTGCTGGAGGGGGGGCATGAGGAAAGTCAGGTGAGCAGTGAGGCAGGGGAATGGTCAGATGTCCATGAGAATGGATGAAAATCTGCAACTGATAGTAGGGGAGAGGGGGGAGATAGGGGGCATCTAGAGGAAGAGACAGAGAGACCTGGGATATGGGAGACACCCAAGAATCAGTGGCAATATCATTAGCTATGACTTACAGCATTGGGGATATGGATCCTGGGGAGGCTACCTCCTGTGACCAAGTAGGAACCCCAGGGGAGTGGTAGGAACACCAACCCACCCTCAAAACTTTGGACCCAAAACTTATCCAGTCTACAAGAAATGCAGAGAATGGAGATGGAGCAGAGACTGAGGGAACAGCCAACCAGTAACCAGCTCAACTTGAGACCAAAGTACCAGAGTAGGAGGATACCCAGGGCCGCCCACCTGATCAGAGGATAAGGGGAAGGAAAAGAGGGAGAGGATGTGGGAGGGAGTGAAATGAAGCAGGCAGTGAGTGGGATGTCAAATGAATAAGTAAAAAAAAAAATTTAAAGTACCCATGAATCTCAACAATATGGCTGTTTAAATAAACCTTGAAAAACAATAACACTGATTGACATGCCAGTGTGGGTAGGAAAAATCTCACAGGGACCCATCCCACAGACCCATAGAAGAACAAGCTAATGATTGCTAAATAACATGAAATCAGTCTTGTCCAAGGACTAGCCCCTGATGTGTGATCCAATAACAAGTCATCAGCCATAAAATATATGTATGTGTATGTGTATGTGTATGTGTATGTGTATGTGTAAGTGTATGTGTATGTGTAAGTGTATGTGTATGTGTATATGTATGCAGTAGTAAATTTGAGGGGTAGAGAAGGGGCAATGAAAAGATTTTGGGAAAACAGAGAAAGGGAGAAGTAATATAAGTGCAGCACTCATTTATGAAATTTTCAAAGGTAAATAAGATATATTTTAAATAACAGTTCCTTAAATTAGTAATTAACTAAATAATGGAACAAGGCCTTGTTAGTACACACTTGAATTCAAAGCACTTGAGAGGTTGAGGCAAGGAATTCGTGGTCAATCCGGGCTATATAATGAGTACCAAACGAGCCATAAATATTTAGTAAAAACTCTGACTCAAAAGTTAATTACAAAGCCAAAAGTCACTGACTTGAACACGGAATATTGATGTACAGAGAATGAATTGGGAGGCTGTAAATGAAGGAAAATTGTTTTTGAGCAGTGTGTGATATACAGTATGTGGAAATAGCACAATAAGCTTAATTAAAACATGCAATTAATATATATTAATAAAAAACAAAAGATAAAACAACTTATTACAACTTATTTTACTATATGCATTCTTTCCAGATGAAGGTTCTCTTCAAAAATTTACTCTTTAAAAATGAAAGAAGGAAATTATTTCAGCTTCTTTTTTCCCCATTAATTTGTTTATTGACTTTACATCCTGGTCACTGTCCCGATTCCCCCCTCACATAGTCCCTACTCCCATCTTCCCCACCCCTTCTCCTCTGAGATAGTGGAAGCCCCTCCTCCACATCCCCTGACCCTGGCACATCAAGTCTCTGCAGGGTTAGGTCCATCCTCTCTCACTGAGGCCAGTCAAGGCAGCCAGCAAAGGGAACAGATTCCATAGACAGACAATAGATTTAGAGACAGCCTCTGTTCCAGCTGTCGAAGGTCCCACATGAAGACCAAGTGGCACATCAGCTACATATGTGTGTGGGGGGGAAGGGGAGGGGAAGCTGGGTCCAGCTGGTGTATGCTCTTCGGTTGATGGTTCAGTTTCTGAGAGACCCCAAGAATCCAAGATAGTTGACTCTGTTGGTCTTCCTGTGATGTTCCTATCCCCTTCGGGACCCTCAAGCCTTCTGCCAACTCTCCATAAGAGTCTCCGTGCTCAATCCAATGTTTGGCATCTGTTTCAGTCAGCTGTTGGGTCTCTTAAAGGATAGTCATATCATGGTAGGCTCCTATCTGCAAACATAGCAGAGTATCATAAAAATATGGAATGCTTCACAACTTTGTATGGCATTCTTGTGCAGAGGCCATGCTAATCTTCTCTGTATCATACCAGTTTTAGTATATGTACTCTGGAAGCAAGCACTTGTTTCAGCTTTGTTAATGCTGATTAATAAATGAATTCTGAACACTGTACAGAATCCCAAATGGAGATGGACATGTTGGAAACACTACCCTAAACATTATTGCCTTCTGCATCTTCTCTTTCAACTAGAACATTATCTAGGGCCAAGTATTACCATAGCCTGTCTGAAGAAGTATATCTCTCCAAGTAGTATACAGTGAAATAAGCTACTAGGCACTGGGACAGGATGCCTGGAAGTGGCTCATGAAGTTCTTGCCCCAAGAGGGACCCAAAAGTAAAGCTCAGTTAAAGAGAGGCTGTACACACAGAGGTGAAGGGGATGAATGATATCTACTAGTAAATTAGAGAAGATCAAACAAAACAGATTGTTGAAGGAAGTAAGTAAATATATCAGAACAGTGGAAATTCCCAAATTAATGTATTACATGGGACTTGAGAGACCACCAGTTGACTTTCCTTGGAGAACATTTCATTGACTATGATTCTAAAGAGGACACTAAGCAAAGATAGAGAAGCTTCTTAATGGCTTCTTAATGGCTGCCCTGAAGACCAAGGCTGATGGCAGATACTAGTATTCTGGAACTTGTCACTGTGGAGAAAAGACTCAAGAAGAAATGAAAATTGATAGCAGCATTTGGTTGTCACATAGACCATATGTGTAAGAACTGTAAATGGTAGTCAGGTTGAAAGGGCATCTAAGACATAATGGCCAAGAGATATTATAAAAATGGCTCATAGGACATGCTTTCTAAAAGCAAGGAAAACAAGAAGGACCTCTAGGTAGGCAACAAGAAAATGGGGGCAGACAGAAAGGTAAACTACATATGAACAGAGGTGATACTATGTAATTGGAGAAAAAGGAGTATGTCATGACAACTAATTGTGGAATTCATTAGTACTCCACTAGCCAATAGTAAGTGTACATGTGGAATTAGAGCGATTGTGTTATTTTAAGAACAACATACTTGGAGACTTAGACAGTAAAAAAAAAAATCTAGAATGAATAGTAGAAGAATAAATAATAAATACTGATTATAAACTCAAGACCGGCAACTACATAGTAGATCTTATTGCACATATCTTTTAAATCTTTCTTCAGAAAAATCATGAGTCTTCCTAATGGAACCAAGCACCACACTGGTGAGTGTGAGTCTTCTTTACTCAATGTCCTATTCAAATGCTAATATTTCCTGGGAACTTCCTTAGTTCCAAACACAATTCAATAGTATTAGTACTCAGATACAATGTTTTGCTAGCCATCTGGTCAACTCCATTGCCTGGTCAAGGTGACACATAAAATTTGCCATAACAAGTGCATCCAGCATCTGAATTTTCTATAATTTTTCTTTTGTAGGAATAACTAATTCAGAAAGCTGCCATCTGAATACTGAAAATGTTCTAATCATACATCCAAAGAAAAAGTGCCTAAGAATTTCTACACCATGATAGTAGCTCATGGCCTGTGATTACAGTGTGGAAACATAGGAACACAGCTCCCTTCTGAAAATGAGATGATTTCACCAGCAGGGTAATATCTGTCTCTTCCCATAAAAGTATGGTGAGGCAGAAAGTTTGTAACATCACCTTTGGATAGATAGTCTCAGACTCTTCTTCCTCAGTTTTCCAAACATCAGATGTTTTTGTATGGCTATCTTATTAAGTTTCTCACATAAATTCTCTTCTTTTAGATCTTCTTCAGGAAAACCACACTTTTAAAACAGAGTCTTGGAGTGTTTGTCTTACAAACAACCTGTTGAAAATAGTTTCAGGCTCTCCTCAGCATATCCCAGCCCACACTTCTGGCAGAAGCCTCCTACCCAGCCAGAGACCGGGCTAGCATCCTTAACCCTAGAGGCTAGGCTTGTACCCTGAACCCAAAATAAGACTGCACCCCACCCTGCACACACCTGCCCAGCATAACCACAAGAGCCTCTCCTCTCCTTGTCACCATATTCCAGCCCACACCTCCATCAGAAGCTTCCTATTCCACCAGAGGACATGCCAGCAAGCATCCTGAATCCAAGAGGCCCCTGGACAGATCAGAGGATACACACATAGTCAGAACTCCAGCCTCCAACTTCAGCAACAACACCCTGCTGGACGAGAGGCCATCCCAGCCATCAGAAGTCCAACCCCTTACTAGAGTGGATACCCTCTACTCAGTCTCAGGCTATTCTGGTCAGAAGACCAAAAAGGAAACACAAACCAAGATAGAAAGCACTCATCCAACAAAGACAAATCCAGAAATCAGCACTTAGACCAAAGAATCTAGATGTCTAAATGTCAGTATAAGAACAAAAACAAAATCCAGGACAATATATCACTATCAGAGGCCACCTATTCTACTACAGCAAACCCTGGATATTCCAACACAGCTAAGTACAAGAAAACCCAACTTCATAAAGATAATAGCAGTCCTTAAGGAAAAAAAAAGAATAAATCCCTTAAAGAAATTGAAGATAAGACAATCAAAAAATTGGAGAAAACCAATAAATCCCATTTTAAAATGTCAAGAAACCAAAGAGAAAACAAACAGTTGAAGGAAAAGAATAAAACTGTTCAGGACCTGAATATGGAAATAGAATAAAGAAAACACGAACTGTGGTAAATCTGGAAATGGAAAATCTAGGAAAGTGAACAGGAACTATATTGATGCAAGCATTACCAACACAATAAAAGAGATGGAAGAGAAAGTTTCTGAAGTGGAAATTTCTAGTTTCTTTGGAAAGATACAAAGGCACAAAAAGTTTATAGAACACCAGATACAATGAATAAGAAAGGAGAGTCTACATAACAATCAAAACACTAGACAAACAGAAGAAAGAATAGTAAAAACAAGAGAAAAAGGCCAAGTAACATATATAGCCAGATCTATGAGAATTATACTCTATTTCTCAACTGTGACTCTAAAAGCCAGAAGTGCCTGGACAGATGTCCTGTAGCCTCCAAGAAATGGCAGATGTCAACCCAGACTACTATACACAGCAAAACTTTCAATCATCGTAGATAGAGAAAACATATTTCATCACAAATCAACTTTAAACAATATCTGTCTACCAATCCCACCCTACAAAAGGTACTAGAAGGAAAACTCCAGTGCAAGAAAGTTAGTTACACACAAAAAATTACAGTAAATAAATAATCTCATGCAGACATAACCCAAAGAAGGAACACACACACACACACATGCACACACATACACACACACACACACTACCAACAACAGCAACTACAAGAAAGCTATGAGTTAACAATCATTGGTCATTGATATCTCTTAATATAAATTTCAAGTAAAAAGAAACAGACGAACAGAATAGATGCAAAATAAAGATCCATTCTTGTGCTACATGTACGAATCACACCTCAACATGAAAAAAAGACATTACCTTGGAGTTGGAAGAAGATTTTCCAAGCAAATGGATTCATAAAGCAAGCTGGTGTAGCTTTTCTAACAAAATAGACTGCAGCCTAAAGTTCATCAAAAGAGATGGGAAAAGACACTTCTGACTCATCAAAAGAAAATTCACCACCATGTTTCTCTACATCTATGTCCCAAGGCCACCTATATTGAAAAGAAACTTAAATTATAAAAGAAACATTACATATTTGTAAAAGAAACATTACTAAAGCTTTCACCATACACCAAACCTCATACATTGATAATGGGAGACTTCAATAACTTATTCTCACTAATGGACAGATCACATAACAAAGATTAAACAGAGAAATAATGAAGCTAACAGATACTATGACTCAAATGGACCTAACAGATATCCATAGAGCATCATACAAACACAAAAGAATATACATTTTTCTTAGTACCTCACAATACTTTCTCAAATATGAACACATACTTGGCCACAAAGCAAGTCTCAACAGAAACAAGAAAATTGAAATATCCCCTTGAATCCTCTCAGACAATCAAGGATTAAAGCTGGATATCAACAATGACAGAAAAACCACAGAAACTGAACAATTCTTTATTGAATAACCACTGGGTAAATGCAGAAATAAGGAAATTAAAAACTTCCCAGAATTCAATGAAAATTAATATACAACATACCAAAACTTATGGGACACAATGAACACTGTGCTAAAAGGAAAAAGGGAAAGTTCATAGCATTAAGTGACTTCATAAAGAAACTGGAAAGCTCTCATACTAGCCCCTTAACAGTACATATGAAAGCTCTAGAGCAAAAAGAAGCAAACACACACAGGAAGAGTAGACAGCAGGAAATAATCAAACTCAGGGCTGAAATCTATCAATTAGAAACAAAGTGAATAATACAAAGAATCAATGAAACCAATAGCTGATTCTTTAAGAAAATCAACAACACAAATAAAATCTTATCCAAACTAATTCTCTCTTCCTGAGAGAGAATATCCAAATTAAAATCAGAAACAAAAAGGGGGACATAACAACAGACACCAAGGAAATCCAAAGAATTATTAGGTCATACTTCAAAAACCTGTAACTCCACAAAATTGGAAAGTCTAAAAGAAATGGACAATTTTCTTAATAAATACCACTTACCAAAGTTAAATCAAAATCAGATAAACAATCTTAATAGATCTATAACCCCACAGAAATAAAAGCAGTCATTAAAAGTTTCCCAACCAAAAACAGCCTAGGGCCAGATGGTTTTAGTGTAGATTCTACCAGACCTTAAGAGAAAAGTTCATTTCTATACTCCTCAAATTATTCCACAAAATAAAAAATAGAAGGAATATTGTCAAATTAATTATATGAGGCCACAGTCACCCTGATACCTAGATCACATAAAAGTTCAATCAAAAAACAGAATTTCAGACCAATTTCCCTCATGAATATTGAAATAAAACTACTCAACAAAGTATTTGCAAAGTGAATCTAAGAACACATTAAAGAACACATCCTACATGATCAAGTTTCTAGGCAGAGATGCAGAGATAGTTCAAAATACGAAAGTCTGTAAGAGTAATCCACTATATAAACAAATTGAAAGAGAAAAACACATGAT